GGACCGGGGCAAACCTGCCTGCCGCATTGGCAGGCAGACTCTCAACCACTGCGCCACCAGGGAAGCCCTCCCAGATGATTCTTAAGTAGCCAGACTGGCATATAGGATGGCCTTCAAGGAACTGGTCTGCTCCGGAGGCAGGAGGTCTGGGCCTGAGAAGTGGGTTAAGACTTTTGCCCTCATGTGTGTCCATGCCACCATCTATGACAAAGAGGTCCAGATTACAGATGCCTGTAAGGTTGTCTAGCCCAACCTCCGACCAGGGATTGAATCACCTCTGTAATATCCCTCCCAAGGGGTCCACAGTCTGTCTAAACACCCCTGAGTGACTGGAAACTCACCACCTTTCCAGGAAGTCCAATCCACTGTCAGAAAATACTCCCTTGAGTTGAGTTTCTAGTGGAGAGAAGGTTGGGAAATAGTGTAGAGGCTACAGAGGTCAAAGATCATGAGCCCCAAGAAAGGCCCTTGGATTTGGCCTTGTGCTGGTTGATGACTTTCAAGAAAGAAATTTCTGTTCAATGTAGATGGGAGGTGGGAGGAGGGGGGTAGGAGCCAAACTCAGGAGGTTGAGGGTGGGAATTCCCTGGCAGTGCAGTGGTTAGGACTCCGTGATTCTACTGCAGGGGGCACGGGTTTGATCCCTGGTGGGTTCGATCCCTGGTGGCCTGGGAACTAGGATCCCGCAAGCCACACAGTGGAAGCCAAATAAAAAAAAAAAAGAGGCTGAGGGTAAGAAGGAAGTGGAGGTGTGAGAATTGCAAATATGTCTGTGAAGGGAGTCTTGTTTGACAGGAGTCAGGTGGTATGAGCGTGTTTGTAGGCAGAGGAGAAAGGCAGGAAGCCTGTAAGGCGGAAGCCTGTGAGGATAGCACATCAGAGAGTAAGTGAATGAAGGCCAGGGGAGAGGGGACGGGCTCGAAGGACAGAGGCGAAGGAAGTGCTAAGCCTAGTAAGAAGAGCGCCCCTGTTCTGTGGAGCTGGGGTGATGGTGACGTGATGCAGGCAGAAAGACTCCTAAGGTCCGTGAGGTGCAGAAGAGTGAGGGTACAGGGGCTGCTGGTGGCCAGACTCTCTAGCACACGAGGCCAGCCGCTTAGAGAGAAGACAGTGGGTATGACTCTGGGTTGGTGAGAAAAGGAAGTCTGAAGCCTCCACATGAGTTAGGCACTGATGATAAACTCACCCAGGGTGCTGGTTTTTAAAAAGGAAAATCAGATTTCTGGGTCCAGCTCAGACTTGGTGAATCAGAATGTCCAGGGGAGGGGGCTAGCAATCTATATATTTAACAAACACTCTAGGGGGTTCGTGTCATCAAGCAAGTTTGGGATAACACTATCCTTGAGCAAGTGATTCCCAAATACATTAGACCCACTGGAGGTGCTTTTGGAATATACAGATTCCTGGACCCCTACCCCAGAGATTCTGATTTGGGGAGCAGGGGGAAGGGTGGAGGGGAACCTGGGTGTCTGAATTGTTTTAAAGCTTTTCAGGTACTTTTCGTGGGCAGCCTGCTGGGACCACAGCTGAACAGCCCTGAGCAAAAAGCTCCCAGGTGCTGCAGCTGCCACGTCTCGAATTCACTGCAACTTCTTCCCAGGTTCCGCTCATTTTAAAATTAAGGGTCATGGGCTTCCCTGGTGGCGCAGTGGTTGGGAGTCCGCCTGCCGATGCGGGGGACGCGGGTTCGTGCCCCGGTCCGGGAGGATCCCGCATGCCGCGGAGCGGCTGGGCCCGTGAGCCATGGCCGCTGGGCCGGCGTGTCCGGAGCCTGTGCTCCGCAACGGGAGAGGCCACAGCAGTGAGAAGCCTGCGTACCGCAAAAAAAAAAAAAAAAAAAAAAA